GTGTTGTTACCTACCAGTGTTGTTACCTATCTGTGTTGTTACCTACCAGTGTTGTTACCTACCTGTGTTGTTACTGACATTTGTATCTGTGTTGTTACCTACCTGAGTTGGTACCTACCTGTGTTGTTACTGACATTTGTATCTGTGTTGTTACCTACCTGTGTTGTTACCTACCAGTGTTGTTACCTACCAGTGTTGTTACCTACCAGTGTTGTTACCTACCTGAGTCGTTACCTATCTGTGTTGTTATATTGCCTACCAGTGTTGTTACCTATCTGAGTTGTTACCTACATTTGTATCTGTGTTGTTACGTACCAGTGTTGTTACCTATCTGTGTTGTTACCTACCAGTGTTGTTACCTACCTGTGTTGTTACTGACATTTGTATCTGTGTTGTTACCTACCAGTGTTGTTACCTACCAGTGTTGTTACCTACCTGAGTTGTTACCTATCTGTGTTGTTATATTACTGTGTTGTTATGTTTCTGTTTCTGACAGGAGTGTTGGATCAAAATGAAATAAATAGTTATTTCTTTAATGTGAAATTGAGCGGGCGTTAATCCTAAAATTAAGGGTACAGTTGTACTTCTGTAGTGGTAAAAGCGCTTGCCATATTTAGAAAGTCTAATCGTGACCTATTCCTTTATCAATTGTGGACGATTTTGACCTAAAATTGCAAAATAGTCACTCAAATTACAGTAGAAATGCAGATAGATTTTTTTGTCAATAGAGATGACATTCGCGTCTGTCTATAAGAAATGTCTTGTTTAAATGAAAATATCTATGGTTTGCATGGACATGAAGAAGGATTGGTTCATGTAAATTAAATGTTTGGGCAGGGAGGAAAGGAGGAAGAGAAGCGCAACAAACGGACTGTTCTATACACATAATAAAAAGCGTTATTATACCAAATACGTTTCAACTGGTGGCTTATGGTACTATTTATAACTGTTCCAAATATTGTAAAAATAATAAATAACTTTAAAAAGATGTAAATATGTCCATCTTATATAAAGAATGTGTATTCGTGGTAGGATTCGAATGTGAATTTCGACTCCGCACGTATAAACAGTAACACAAATGTAAGGAGTACTTGTTATTCTCAAAACCATTTATAAAGTACCAACAAATCACGTTTTAACGTAACTTGTTTATCATCTTGTAGATAATTTACGTCGTAGAAGATAGGAAACCAAACATTTGTTTTATTATTGTTACTATGGCTAATTAACGTAGTAGAAGATAGGGGTACAAGATTGTCTTAGTCCCTACGTTAGAGCTGTGTGAGGGCACGGTAGGTTTATCAGGCTGTATGTCTGGTTTACAGTGAACGATCGCCTCTGGGATTAGCCGAGTATCGTATACGCGGAAAAACCGGTTCGTTGTTTTTGAATGTAACCCTTTTTTTGGTAAAAAACCTGGCAGACATGCAAAAGTTTATGCAGGCCTTGCAAGGCTTTGGCAAAGCTCGCCTGAAAAACCCCATCAGATTACCTGGTCCGACATTATTTCATAAACGAACAGTTCTGGTCCAATCGGTTCAACCGTTTAAATCGCGATAAACGAAAGCGTCCCAGGGGTCTATTGTCCTCTTTGTACATAATTATTACCCTTTGTTATTATTGCGTCATGTCAGTTTGTCTGAGGAATGACCGAACGTCACATACTCATATCCGGTCTTGAGCCTCACAATATTCAGAGTTACATGTATAACCCTTTGTTTATTCTGTATGATATTCAAAATTACTGTATTTTGCTAGTCATTACGTGCACACAAGAATTCATGTAGGTTTAATCCCTAAACAATGAACGTTTTATTGTACGAAGTTTAACTACAGGCAGAATACCGCATTTGATATCCGTTGATTTTAAAGGATAAGTATAATCCGAAAAACATGCCTCGGCATTAAATATCACATGCTGTAATCAAACCTTTAACAACCCTTGCAATCGATTTGATTTTGTGTGAAACACGTCCAATAACGTACATGATTTTGGTGTTTTAGCTGATTATATATATCTCCCGTTCTTATGAGATATGCCGGACTACTCTTGTATTGTTTTCCATCAAGTCAATCGGTTTGGATTCGGGAAATTGCACTTTTGGTTGGTCAAAACACAGTGGGGAAAATATTCAGACAAGCCTGAAATATGTGTATAATATTTATATGTCATTGATTATCCAATTTGGTTTACAAATTGTGCTGTTATTTCTTACCAAAACAATAACTGGGGTCAACAACTGTGTTCAGTCTCGCAAGAATTGTTCACAGTTTTACGCGTATTCTTCAGAGTTAAAATAAGTTTCTCGAGAGGGAGTGGAACTACGCGTAGTTGAGTGACGTGACATACCCCTGTCAGTATGATAAACTTATTAAATACAATATGATGACTTAAGGAAATGGAATATAGATATGGTACTTACAGAATGCACACCACGGGTAATTGGCTATAAACTTGCAGTAACGTAGAGGTGTTTTGTGCGCGTCATCCTCGTCGTCCACAGACTTATGGGGTGACACCTCTCCTCCCTTAGCCCCTATGTATCCCACAACCCCAACTTTTGAGGACGATTTCTTTAAATTCGGGGTTTTCCTCTTTTTCTTTTTAGTGCGATCCGGTTGATCATCAATTAAACACTTCTCTGTAAAACTTCCCTTAGACTCTAAATTGATGAAGAAATCAGGTGACTCCATTTCTCCAATCCATCGAGTTGGTGGTCAAACTTTAACAGTGATTATTGTGTCCGCAATGTTTGACATTATACATTCCGGTGTGTACACAAGTTACTCGGAAGGATTTACATACGTAATCTCAAACTGTGGTAATTTGACACCATTTTGTAGAATTCATAGAATTCTTATGACAATGTACGAGTGTCTTTGTCCGAGTTGCTATGACTACAGCAATGTTTTGTTCATTGTTCAGTAAAAGTTTTGTAACACATTGATAAAAGCAAACATGACATTGCTGTTACGGTACGGCCCATTGTACATGTATATATAATGTATAATTACATGTATAATGTATGTACATCATAAAATAGATCCGGTCTGTTAGGTTTAGAGACCGGATTTACAAACAGGATTATGAATTAAGTTTTGATTTGATGTCCGTCTTAGTATAGGTCTGATCGGTATAATCTATTGTTAATCGGATTGTACATTTAGTGAGTATCGATCACCTGTCACGTCTAGGACCGAACCCCTGGGCGGACCGCTGGGCCGACCCCTGGGAAATTCAAATGTGGTCCCAGCCCAAGGGAGGGTAACTGAATGACCACTACAGAATCACGCAGTAACAAGTGGTTTACGAGAGTTTATAATTATAATTATATCAAAACAGAATATGTTGAAAACATAGAAGATAGCATTCCGCTAAGTTTCCTCTCTTCGTACGTTCACAATGTCTATAAAGTGTGACATCTTTCGCTGAAATATCAGTACTGACAATATGCCATGCCTTAACTATTTATACGTTCCTGGTATGAACTGTATAGCGGGCTCACTTCATGGAAATATAGAGAATGGAATCAGTGTGGTCATTGTGTCCCACGTGTATTATTTCAATATTTGGGTGTAATATACAAGGATGTGCTTTTTGCACCAAATTCTGTATTGGAATTAGCACTTGTAGACAAAAACAAGAATAACATATTAAACAGTTTCATCAGAGGTTATAACTTACAGTGTGCTTAGTAGTTGATAACCTACATGTAACTTCTTCTGTATTTTGGGGAAAGCAAATGACAACAAATAACCTACAACCCTCACCTGTGCCCTGATGATACACTTTAAGCCTGTTAGAAATACATGTAGCGTACACACAACATCACATAATACATAACTCTCTTTATTCGACTAATAATGGTCTTAAAGCATCGATTTTCTTAATTCTTGAACAATAAGTTGAATTTATAGTTTCTTACGATATAAAACAAATACGATTGTTTTATTGTTTTATGAACATGGTTTGCGAGAATAGCACGAATCATATCATTTGTATTGTTGCCAGAAATTGTTTGATACAGTTTAAAGGTTTAAAATAAGTTGTTTGTGTTAACCGGAGACTAAATTTAATCGGGAAACGTGACCAGAAAACTTGTTACAACTAAGTGTACAAATGTACATAGTGTACTGACATTATTGTGTAAACAACAGGCCAAGCAAAACAGTTACATCATGTCATACTAAGTCTATTCTACATAAGTAATCACACAGTATAAATGTTTGCTCTGGAAGGTTATCCGACACAATTTAAGGACATTTGAAGGCGAGGGGCAATTCAATCCGAAGTTAATATGCGTTGACATGTCCGTCTACCTTCTGCGCGCTTTCATTCTCCTTGGTGACTTTGGTTTCTTAAGTGATCTTTTGGGAGACCTCTTGGGAGATCTTTTGGGAGACCTTTTGGGAGATCTTTTGGGAGACCTTTTTGGAGATCTTTTAGGAGACCGTTTGGGAGATCTTTTGGGAGACCTCTTTGGCGATTTCTTAGCTTTTGGCGAAGTTTTCTTCCCGGGAGACATTTTCGATTTGGGCGAACCTTTCCCTTTAGTAGGTGATTTTTTACTCACAGTTTTAGATTTTTTATCCTTACGTTCCTTGGATTTATCCTTACGTTCCTTGGATTTATCCTTACGTTCATTGGATTTGTCCTTTCTAGTTTTGTCCTTTTTATCCTTTTTGTCCTTTTTGTCATTTCCTTTTTTGTCCTTTTTGTCCTTTTCTTTTTTGTCCTTTTTGTCCTTTCTTCTGTTCCTCTTGTCTTCTTTGTTCTTGTCCGTCGAATTGTCCCTACCGCTACTATCCTCAAAGTCAAACTCCGGGGCAGTTCCACCCATTCCATCTTCTACGTCATAGTTGGAACGCCTCTTCCCTATTTAGTTTGTAACAGAGAATGATTGGTTAAGATGCTGACGTCATGATAGTGAGCAATTAAACATGTAACAAGTGTGTTCTCGGTCAGTAAGAGAAGAATTTACCACGAAACAGATCGATACAACATGAAATGATATTCACTGTATGTTAAATGTACGTCTGTATAGATAACCGATAGTTACACAGTTAACTAATTCTAAGATCATTATATCAACATGATGTACTCTCATACTCACCGAACTCGGTATATAATTGACAAAGAGAATATCCTAGGATCACCGGAGTGATCAGTGATAATGAAATATGTATAAAACAGTGTTGTGTTTATCATATGGATAATTTTTAAGCTTCAAAAAACGTCGAATTGTCCCTACCGCTACTATCCTCAAAGTCAAACTCCGGGGCAGTTCCACCCATTCCATTTTCTACGTCATAGCTGGAACGCCTCTTCCCTATTTAGTTTGTAACAGAGAATGATTGGTTAAGATGCTGACGTCATGATAGTGAGCAATTAAACATGTAACAAGTGTGTTCTCGGTCAGTAAGAGAAGAATTTACCACGAAACAGATCGTTACAACAAGAAATGATATTCACTGTATGTTAAATGTACGTCTGTGTAGATAACCGATAGTTACACAGTTAACTAATTCTAAGATCATTATATCAACATGATGTACTCTCATACTCACCGAACTCGGTATATAATTGACAAAGAGAATATCCTAGGATCCCCGGAGTGAGCAGTGATAATGAAATATGTATCGAACAGTGTTGTGTTTATCATATGGATAATTTTTAAGCTTTAAAAAACGAGACTGAGTAAAATAATAATCAAATGCCAGTTAATATACCTGGGTATATAACTACTAATATTCATCATATTTAAGTACATGTGTAAGCTTATTAAAGTATAGAACGTTTTAAGAGTATGAATTATTTTTTACGTTTGTCATATTTCATGGGATCCCCGGGAGAGCAGCAGTCACACGGACAGCCTGGACAGCAGTACCCGGCCCCTTCCCCCTCGGGATCCTCCATGTCACGTGCATCCGCCATGGAAGTCTGCAGGTATCGCATCAACACCAACGTCACGAACTTCAAACGTAAACACATGTAGATAGGTCAGATGTCGATAGTACAATGTTCCACGTTGTAATCGAAAACGAACCAACATAGAAGACGGAATGACTTCCCTTGCCAAGTAATTTAGTTTTCAGCTTCAAGGGTGGCTCTATTTTGATGATTTGTATGATTACTTGTAAGTAAAAATGATGAAATGTAAGAGTGGCAGTGAAAAGGTCAAGAGTTACCGGGGCCCCTGGTTTTTATTTTGAAAAAGTAAAATTTCTAATAATTTACCTCCGTAAAATGCTAATTTAACCCTTTAATTAACATTAATGTAAATTCTATTCGAAGAAAGCAAGGTAAAGAACCTGTAAAAGGAAAGCCGAGATGACTGACCATCCTGTTGGTACAAGGATTCTGTTTTCAAAGAAATCCATCAGGACGTTGGAACAGCCGGATTGGTACAGAGTTACACTTCCGTAGTGCACGTGCATCGATTTGTCCTTGACAGCATGATGGACACATGGACGGGGTGATGTTACGTCGCAACAACTGTAGGGAACATCGTCCGAGTAGAATAAACCCCCCTTCAGCTTCCTACAGAAAATAACGTAAACAGAGAATATTTGTAACCTCAATTTATTGCATTGATATTTGTATCATCACTTTTGTATCCTCACTTTATTACATTGATATTTGTACATTTTGTATCCTCACTTTTGTATCCTCACTTTATTACATTAATATTTGTATCCTAACTTTATTGCATTAATATTTGTATCCTCACTTAATTGCATTGATATTTTTATTCTCACTTTCTTACATTGATATATGTATCATCACTTTTGTATCCTCACTTTATTGCATTGATATTTGCATCCTCACTTTATTGCAATGATATTTGTATCATCACTTTAGTGCATTGATATTTGCATCCTCACTTTATTGCATTGATATTTGTATCCTCACTTTATTGCATTGATATTTGCATCATCACTTTATTACATTGATATTTTTATCCCCACTTTATTACATCGGTATTTGTATCATCACTTTATTACATTGATATTTGCATCCTGACTTTATTGCATTGGTATTTGTAGAACACTTTATTACATTGATATTTGCATCCTGACTTCATTGCATTGGTATTTGTATCATCACTATATTACATTGATATTTGCATCCTCATTTTATTGAATTGGTATTTGTATCATCACTTTATTACATTGATATTTTTATCCCCACTTTATTACATCGGTATTTGTATCATCACTTTATTACATTGATATTTGTATCCTCAAACTATTACATTGATATTTTCATCTTCACTTTTGTATCCTCACTTTATTGGATTGATATTTGTATCCTCACTTTATTACAATGATATTTGTATCATCACTTTATTACATTGATATTTATATCCTCACTTTATTACATTGATATTTGCATCCTCACTTTATTGCATTGGTATTTGTATCATCACTTTATTACATTGATATTTGCATCCCCACTTTATTACATTGGTATTTGTATCATCACTTTATAACATTGATATTTGAATCCTCACTTTATTACATTGATATTTGCATCTTCACTTGATTGCATTGGTATTTGTATCATCACTTTATTGCATGGATATTTGTATCATCACTTTATAACATTGATATTTGAATCCTCACTTTATTGCATTGATATTTGCATCCTCACTTTATTGCATTGGTATTTGTATCATCACTTCATTACATTGATATTTGTATCGTCACTTTATTACATTGATATTTGTATCATCACTTTATTGCATTGATATTTGCATCCTCACTTTATTGCATGGATATTTGTATCCTCACTTTATTGCATTGATATTTGCATCCTCACTTTATTACATTGATATTTATAACCCCACTTTATTACATTGATATTTGCATCCTCACTTTATTACATCGATATTTGTATCCTCAAATTATTACATTGATTTTTTCATCATCATTTTTGTATTCTCACTTTATTGCATTGATATTTGTATCCTCACTTTATTACATTGATATTTGTATCCCCACTTTATTACATTAATATTTGTATTATCACTTTTGCATCCTCACTTTATTGCATTGATATTTGCATCCTCACTTTATTACATTAATATTTATAACCCCACTTTATTACATTGATATTTTCATCTGCACTTTTGTATCCTCACTTTATTGCATTGATATTTGCATCCTCACTTTGTTACATTGATATTTGTATCATCACTTTATTACATTGATATTTGTATCATCACTTTATTACATTGATATTTATATCCTCACTTTATTACATTGATATTTGCATCCTCACTTTATTGCATGGATATTTGTATCATCACTTTATTACATTGATATTTGTATCCTCACTTTATTTCATTGATATTTGAATCCTCACTTTATTGCATTGATATTTGCAACCTCACTTTATTGCATTGATATTTGTATCATCACTTTATTGCATTAATATTTGTATCCTCACTTTATTACATTGAGATTTATATCCCCACTTTATTACCTTGATATTTGTATCATCACTTTATTGCATTGATATTTGCATCCTTACTTTATTACATTGATATTTATATCCCCACTTTATTACCTTGATATTTGTATCATCACTTTATTGCATTGATATTTTTATCATCACTTTATTACATTGATATTTGCATCCTCGCTTTATTGCATTGGTATTTGTATCATCACTTTATTACATTGATATTTATATCCTCACTTTATTTCATTGATATTTGTATGTATCTTTACGATGTTTGATTATTGAACAAAATACATTTTAATTAATTACTTGAAGTGACTAAAGACGTATTTTGCACTTTGTTCTTTCTTTATATTCACTCAAATATTAACAACAATCTTTCTACTCAATTAAGGAACAATTTTAATCAACCGATGCGTGTGTTAATTTATATTATATAATATGTATATAACTTTGGGTTCTAAAACGTTCGAAAAATAATTACATTTTATAATTGTAACTTATGCGAAGCGACTTCGTTTCCATTGTTCAAAATTTTCTTACTCTAATTACATGTATATATTATATCATCATATACAAACAAGTGTTACATTATGTTATTTTATTACATACTTACTAATAGATACGTATTTGTATATGCGATACGACACAATTGCTCTTACCCATATCAGCCATCGCCGTATCACACCCCAAAAGCCGTATCAGCCCCCGCCGTATCACACCTTAAAACACGTATCAGCCCGCAAAACCCGTTGTGGAAATTTTTCGTTTTTCAATATTTCAAAAGAAAAATAGATCATAAGATAGTAGCTTTTATTAGTAAGTATGTAATAAACAGAATAAAACATGCCTTTTTTCCCATATCACACCCAGTATCAAACCTCGACCAATATCAGCCCTCGGGCCTTCGGCCCTTGGGCTGATATTGCAGTCTTGGGTTGATACTGGGTGTGATATGGAAAAAGGCATGTATTATTCTCTATATATATTTCTTCTACGAAATCAAATGTGCCTTTGCCCCTACCTCGTTACCTATACCTATAAATTGGGGTAAAACACTCGGCAGAGCCTCGGATTAACCGTTTTACCCCAATTTATGATCCCCTCGGGAGGAATTCTCTATCCATCTCCGGTACATATGAAAGAGTCTTATCTTTCAAAGATAAGCCTCTGGTTTTACCCCAATTATGATCACAGAGGGAGGAATTCTCTATCAATCTACCGTTACATGTGAAAGAGTATTTTTTCTCTCTCATATCTACCATTAAAAAACAAATACCTGTCAACATCGACAGACGGTCGCCATCTTCCGGTTTTTAAAATACTTTCTCCATAGTTTAAAAACAAAAATATAAGTAGAAATGAATTCTCCATACCCTCAAACTGCAACAAGTTGCACGCATAAAAACAACACATTTCCATGATAACTCTATGGTTTAGTTGTTATTCAACTTTCTATTTTCCATACGACATTTTCTAAGCGCCATCTTTGAACTTCATCCCTACTTACTGTACACTTCATTTAGTGCGCAGAGAAATATAGCTCCTAGTAGAAAATAGAAAAAATGAATAAAAAAATATCATGACTGATTATGTAATTGATTGATATAAATGAAATTATAGATACAATTAATAAATACAGAGCTAATGTAGCAGACGACGTAAGTTGTTAACATTGGGACAAACGCGCTCTTACTTTTAATTGGGATTTGCCTTCATCGTACGGTCTGCTCCGCTCTCACCCAAACCCACCCCACTCTTTAACGTATCGCTGCTGAAATTAACCTACTACTGCACATAAATCGTAGATATATCCAACGACGGACGTATTTCTGCATGAAATAATTACTACATTTAACTTTACGTGTAATGTACAGTGCACATAAAGCGAGTCGTCATACCGTATAATGTCTGGGTGTTTGGTGTTCAGGAATTCTTCATTGACCCAGTTGACGTCAAACCAATCACTGTAGCCATTGCTGCCACAACAGTGATATTCCTGCTGTAGTTTATCCAAGGTCACCTTCACGAACATATCCGTTTTGTACCGTTTCATCACGTAGCCCAGACCATTCTGCAAGGACTCCTCGATAACAGAACGATGAGTGAAACACATCAGACCCCCCGCCAGTAGGAACCAGACTAAAATAAATGACAGTATAACCGCAAGAAAGAGAAAGTTCACACATCGCCCACTCATCTCAGAAGTCGAACAATCGTATACAATCTTAAAGGTTACAATATGTAAAATAACCACTTTGATTCCAACTGCAAGTAGAAAATATGGCAGAACATCGGTGTCATATCCATCCAGCAGCATCATTCTAGATTCAATGTTTATCTTCATGTATACTGCCATGCCAATAAGAGCTATTCCAAATAAAGCGATCAAACTATTGAGTATACAAATCGTAATTGCAATCTTCTCTCTCAC